GCCCCGAACGCAGGGCCCTGCGGAGGGGTAAGAGCGCCCCCGCCCTCCTCTCCTCGGTCCCGGGCCCACCCCAGCCACCTCCGCCCCACCCCCCGTCACTCGTCCATCCCTACTCCGCCTCTCTGGCACCCCGGAACCTGTCGCGAGGAGGGCCGTGGCCTCAACCCCGCGTGGTACCCAGGCGGCTGGGAGGGGATGGCCCTGGGGACCTGGGGACGGGAAGTCGCTCTTACCTCCGGGTTCGAGGGCTGGTCCCCGCCCCCAAGCCCTGACATGGAGGAGCTGCTCCAGAGCGTGGAGAGGGACCTGAACATCGATGCCCGCCAGCTGGCTCCAGCCCCTGGGGGCAAGCACGTGGTGGCCCTAGTGCCCGCGCGCTGGCTGGCCAGGCCCCCGGGCCGAGGGCCTGAGCGAAGAGGAAGTCAGGACTCTCCTGCAACGATCGGTGCAGAGGCTGCCCCCAGGCTGGACGCGAGTAGAGGTGCATGGGCTACGAAAACGGAGGCTGTCCTACCCGCTGGGTGGCGGCCTGTCCTTTGAGGAGGGTTCCTGCAGCCCCGAAACCCTCAATCGCTTCATGCAGGATGTGGCTGCCCAGAATTATCGCAACCTATGGCGCCATGCGTATCATACCTATGGGCAGCCCTATAGTCATAGCCCTGCCCCCTCAACTGTCCCTGCCCTGGACTCGGTAAGACAAGCTCTGCAGAGGGTCTATGGTTGCTCCTTCCTGCCAGTGGGTGAAACTACCCAATGCCCAGCATATGCCAGAGATGGCCCCTGTCCCCCTCGGGGCAGCCCCGCCTGTCCCAGTCTATTGAGAGCTGAGGCCCTGCTGGAGTCGCCCGAGATGCTGTATGTGGTGCACCCTTATGTGCAGTTCACCCTGCATGACGTGGTCACCTTCAGCCCCGCCAAGCTGACCAACAGCCACGCCAAGGTGCTCTTCATTCTCTTCCGTGTGCTGCGGGCCATGGATGCCTGTCACCGCCAGGGCCTGGCCTGTGGGGCCCTCTCTCTGCACCACATTGCTGTGGATGAGAAACTTTGCAGCGAGCTCCGGCTGGACCTGAGTGCTTATGAGAGACGGGAAGAGGATGAGAGTGAGGAGACCCCCGTAGCAAGGGACAGGGCAGGCCCTGATGGTGGAGAGGAGGGAGGCGGGGGACCCCGGTGTCCTTCCTGCCAGGAGGAACTCCGGTGCCTTGTGCTCGACTGGGTCCACGGCCGCATCAGCAACTTCCACTACCTCATGCAGCTGAACCGATTGGCAGGTCGGCGGCAGGGGGATCCCAACTACCACCCAGTGTTGCCCTGGGTGGTGGACTTCACCACGTCCCACGGGCGCTTCCGAGACCTGCGCAAGTCCAAGTTCCGCCTCAACAAGGGGGACAAGCAGCTGGACTTCACGTATGAGATGACGAGGCAGGCGTTTGTAGCAGGTGGTGCCGGTGGCGGGGAGCCCCCCCACGTGCCTCATCACATCTCAGACGTGCTCTCTGACATCACGTACTATGTGTACAAGGCTCGGCGCACACCCCGGTCGGTGCTTTGTGGACACGTGCGGGCTCAGTGGGAGCCCAACGAGTACCCCGCCAGCATGGAGCGTATGCAGAACTGGACGCCCGACGAGTGTATCCCCGAATTTTACACCGATCCCTCCATCTTCTGCTCCATTCACCCTGACATGCCTGACCTGGATGTGCCAGCCTGGTGTGGCTCCAGCCAGGAGTTTGTGGCTGCCCACCGGCTGCTGCTGGAGAGCCGCGAGGTGTCCCAGGACCTGCACCACTGGATCGATCTCACCTTCGGCTACAAACTCCAGGGCAAGGAAGCTGTAAAGGAGAAGAATGTGTGCCTGCACCTGGTGGATGCCCACACGCACCTGACCAACTATGGTGTGGTGCAGCTCTTTGATCAGCCACACCCCCAGCGCCTGGCTGGGGCTCCTGCGCTTGCCCCTGAGCCGCCGCTCATCCCTAAGCTGTTGTTCCAGACCATCCAGGAGAGCACCGGCCAGGAGGACTTCCCGGGGCAGCTTGCAAATGGAGTGGGCAGACTGGTTTTGGAGGCTACTCCCTGTGAGGCTGGCTGGGCCAGAGACAGACCGGTGGTGGGGGAAGATGACTTGGAGCAGGCCACGGAAGCTCTCGATTCCATCTCCCTTGCTGGGAAAGCAGGTGACCAGCTGGTTCCCTCCTCTTCCTCTGGTCAAGCTCCCCCAGGCCTCCTGTCTTTTTCCGTGGCCTCAGCCACTCGACCAGGCCGCAGGAACAGAGCTGTTGGGATAGACCCCGGGGAAGGCGAGGAAGGGAAAATTCTTCTTCCAGAGGGCTTCAATCCCGTGCAGGCGCTGGAGGAGCTGGAGAAACTAGGCAACTTCCTGACCAAAGGTCTAGGGGGCCGGTTGGAGGTGCCCGAGCAACCCCAGGTTCAGCCACCTGTGCAGCTGCGGGACCTCTTCCATCGGGACATGCAGGCGCTGGGCATCCTATTGGCTGAGATGGTGTTTGCCACCAGGATCCGATCACTGCAGCCTGATGCGCCTTTGTGGGTACGCTTTGAGGCGGCTCGGGGGCTCTGCACACGCCATCCCAAGGAGATCCCCGTGTCTCTGCAGCCCATGCTGGACATGCTCCTGCAACTGAGTGGCCCTGAAGGCCCAGCCACAGCAGGGGATGGCAAGCCGGGCCCACTGTTTGAGTACCGACCTGTCTCCCAGGGATTGCCCCCACCCTCCCCGGCCCAGCTCCTCAGCCCCTTCAGCTCGGTGGTTCCCTTCCCTCCGTACTTCCCTGCACTGCACAAGTTCATCCTTCTGTACCAGGAGAGGCGCGTGGAGGACGAGGCTCAGGGGCGGGAACTGGTCTTTGCTCTGTGGCAGCAGCTGGGTGCAGTGCTGAGCGACATCACCCCTGAGGGCCTGGAGATCCTGTTGCCCTTCGTGCTGTCACTCATGTCTGAGGAGCACACGGCTGTGTATACGGCCTGGTACCTATTTGAACCTGTTGCCAAGGCACTGGGCCCCAGAAATGCTAATAAGTACCTACTGAAGCCTCTCATTGGTGCCTACGAGAGCCCCTGCCGGCTCCATGGCCGCTTCTACCTATACACTGACTGCTTCGTGGCCCAGCTGATCGTGCGGCTCGGCCTGCAGGCCTTTCTTGTCCACCTGCTGCCCCATGTCCTGCAGGTGCTGGCTGGCGTGGAGGCCTCCCAGGAAGAAAGCAAGGGCCTGGCCGGGGCTGCCGAGGATGAGGAAAGCGGGCTCCCAGGGGCCAGGCCCAGCTCCTGTGCCTTTGGGGAGGAGATGCCGATGGATGGGGAGCCAGCTGCTGCTTCGTCAGGTCTGGGGCTCCCAGATTATACGTCTGGCGTCAGCTTCCACGACCAGGCGGACCTCTCGGAGACAGAGGACTTCCAGGCGGGGCTCTATGTGTCCGAGTCCCCGCAGCCCCAGGAGGCTGAGGCGGTGAGCCTGGGCCAGCTGAGTGACAAGAGCAGCACCAGTGAGACCTCCCTGGGCGAGGAGCAGGCTGCAGACGAAGGGGGAGCCCCCATGGACAAGAGCAGCCTCAGGTCAGGTGACAGCAGTCAGGACTTGAAGCAGAGCGAAGGCTCAGAGGAGGAGGAGGAGGAGGAAGAGGAAGGCTGTGTGGTGTTAGAGGAGGGAGAGGAAGAGGGGGAGCAAGATGAAGTCACTGGGGCATCTGAACTCACTCTCTCCAACACGGTGCTGTCCATGGACACGGTTGTGGCTGCTGGTGGTGGGGCAGATGGGGAGGACGAAGAGGAGCCGCTGACTGAGCGGTCGGAGGGCCAAGAACAGAAGATCCTTCTTGGTGAGTACTCGAGCCCGAGTTTGTAGGTCAGTTATCTGGTTTGCACTCAACATGTGTAGAGCATGTATTCTGCGCCAAGCAGTGGATCGAGCAGGACTACACACAGCATAGATGTGGGCCTGTCCTGGAGCTCACACCTAGCAGAGGAGATGCCATGGTAAAGACAGTCTTAAGTAAGCGTAAGCCCAAGTTAGGGTGGCGCTATCAAGAGTACAGCTGTGTGCTACAAGGGAATATAAAATGGGGCTGAGATCTAGTTTTCAGGGGTCAGAGAAGACTCTGAAAGTAGGGCCAGTTGAGGCTCAATGAGTAGGAAGTAGCTAGGGGAAAATATCAGGGTCTGCAGTGGGAAGAGCATTCCATGCAGAGGGAATAGCATGTGCAGAGCTCAGAGGCTGTCATGGTTCTGTTAAAAATCAGTGAAAGGCCAGCATGATTCAGCTGAGGGAGCGGAGGGCAGAGGAGGGAGGTAGCCAGGGTGTTAGGAACTGGAGCAGAGTCACTGAAAGGATAACCTGGGGCAGCCCTGAGGCCAGAGTCCCGTCGGCCACCTTTGCGCTGCAGTGGTGCTGTGGGGCGACCAGGCTCAGGCTGGGCTTCTTTGCAGATTGCAGCCAGCGTTGGCTAGGTGGGTGCCATGGGGTGGAGCGGTGAGCCACCATTATCTGATGGGCTCAGGGTCTGCTCCTCCCTGCAGATACTGCCTGCAAGATGGTCCGCTGGCTGTCTGCCAAGCTTGGCCCAACGGTGGCCTCCCGTCACGTAGCCCGCAACCTGCTCCGCCTGCTGACATCATGTTATGTTGGTAAGACTGTGGTCAGTGCTGGAGAGGAAACGTCCTCCAGGCCCTCTGTCCATCTCCAGCCCCCTCTAGGGGATCCTTCCCACTCCCACTGCAGACCACCTCCTGGGTCCTGTGTCCCAGTCTGTAAGCTTCTGTCTTCCTTAGGGCATGGGGCAGACTCCAGGCTAGCGTGAGTGGGAGCGGCTACCACAGGCCCTGGAAGGCCTCCTGCCCTCCTGCCCTCTGCCAGCACTCAAGCCTCTGGCCCTTCCTTGGCAGGGTCCACTCGGCAGCAGTTCACGGTGAGCAGTGGCGAGAGCCCCCCGCTGGGTGCCGGCAACATCTACCAGAAGAGACCGGTCCTGGGCGATATAGTGTCGGGGCCTGTGCTCAGCTGCCTCCTCCACATCGCCCATCTGTATGGGGAGCCTGTCCTCACCTACCAGTACCTGCCCTACATCAGCTACCTGGTCAGTGTCCGATTTGGCAGGCTGGGGGCTGAGGGTCTGAGGAGCCTGAGGGCTGACCTGGGATCTTTGGGGGTTTCGGGGGGTCTGTGGAGCAGCCTGGCCCTCATCGACTCTGTGTCCCTAGGTGGCCCCAGGTAGCACCTCAAGCCCCAGTCGGCTGAACAGCCGTAAGGAGGCTGGGCTGCTGGCAGCGGTGACTCTGGCCCAGAAGATCATTGTGTACCTCTCCGACACCACCCTCATGGACATCCTGCCCCGTATCAGCCACGAGGTCTTGCTGCCCGTGCTCACCTTCCTTACTTCCCTCGTCACAGGGTAGGCCCCCGCCCCATCCTGTGGGGGGAGCAGCCCAGCTGAGGGGCCACGGGGGTGGGGACTGGGAAGCTTGGGGGAGAGTCCACTGACACTGGGCTGGGTGTCCTGGTGCTGATCCCGGCCGTGTGACCCTGAGCAAGCTGCACCTTTCTATGCCTCAGTTTCCTCTTCTGGCTTGGACCAGTTGGTCTTGTAGCACCTTTCATGTACACCTTTTTTTTTTTATATATATTTTATTGATTTTTTTATAGAGAGGAAGGGAGAAGAATAGAGAATTAGAAACATTGATGAGAGAGAAACATCAATCAGCTGCCTCATGCACACCCCCTACTGGGGATGTGCCCGCAACCAAGGAACATGCCCTTGACCGGAATCGAACCTGGGACCCTTGAGCCCGCAGGCTGATGCTCTATCCACTGAGCCAAACCGGTCAGGGTCACTTACAGCTTTTGATAGATTCTGGGCAAGTCCCACAGTGTGGGGAGCTGGAGAGCTTAATAAGCTCTTTCCAGGTTCCCGAGTGGAGCGCAGGCCCGGACGGTCCTGTGTCTGAAAACCATCAGCCTCATCGCCCTCATCTGCCTTCGCATCGGACAGGAGATGGTCCAGCAGCACCTGAGCGAGCCTGTGGCCACCTTCTTCCAAGTCTTCTCTCAGCTGCACGAGCTGCGGCACCAGGTGGGGAGGCCTACCTGGCTGGGGTGAGCTGGGCAGGGACCGTGGACTCAGCTGACTCCCTGGGCTTCCGTCCCCCAGGATCTGGATCCCATGGGCCACAGCGAGGGCCAGCTGCCCGAGGTGGCCTTCTCTGACGGGCAGCAGCGGCTGGTGGACCCCGCCCTGCTAGATGAGCTGCAGAAGGTGTTCACCTTGGAGATGGCGTACACCATCTACGTGCCTTTCTCCTGCCTGCTGGGTACTGCCCCTCCCCTTTCCTCACACGGCCTCTGTGGCTCGGTCTTTTTTCCTGGGAGGGCCCCATGCTCCCCCTGCCCTCAGAGTCAGTAGTGGGTGTTCAGCACAGATTTCTGGGTCAGAGCAAAGGAATTTGGCCTCAGACTTCAGGTCTCAATGTGACAGAATAACAGGGACTGAGCGTTAGCCAGCAAGGAGGCACAGGAGTGGCCTAGCGCCTCCCCGGGGAAGGTGGGGGGATCAGGCTGACGTCCTGGGGTCTCTGGGAGCTGCCTGAGAGGAATGAGCAGCCCATCGGGTACTTAGGTTCCCGCACGGTACAGGCTGGACACTGCTGAGTGCCAACAGGTGTCATCTCCCTGCATAGGATGAACGGCCCTGTGGTCAGATAAGTTTTCATCCCTCCACTAACATCTAAGCTCTGCGAGGGAGAGCATGACCTGTCTTGTTTGTTCTTCTATTTCTGTGCCCAGCACACATAGAAGATGCTCACGTGTACATAGTGAACAAATGAGTCCACGTTTTCCTGGGGAGCAGATCGAGGCTCAGAAATGAAGATTCACTTGCTCAGAGTTGCACAGCCCTGTCCCCTCTGGTTCCCAAGCCCTTGGCTGGGTGGTAGCAGCCACCTGTTACCTTCTCTAATCTTAGAACCACTTCCACTTCCATCCAGGTGACATCATCCAGAAAATCATTCCTAACCATGAGCTGGTGGGGGAGCTGGCAGGGCTGTATTTGGAGAGCATCAGCCCGAGCAGTCGCAGCCCTGCCAGTGTGGAGCCCACCGTGCCCAGCGCCGGCCTTGAGTCGGACCCCCAGGGTGGGGGCTGCTCCCAGGATGACGGCCACTCGGGGACCTTTGGGAGTGTCCTAGTCGGGAACCGCATCCAGATCCCAGACGACACTCAGCCGGAGAGCTCCGGCCCCCTGGGCCTGATCTCCGGGATGGGCAGTGGGGGCCTCGGCAGCGAAAGCGAAGACAACGCACTGAAGCGGGAGCTGCCACGGAGCGCCCACGGGCTGAGCGGGAACTGGCTGGCATACTGGCAGTACGAGATCGGCGTGAGCCAGCAGGATGCCCACTTTCACTTCCACCAGATCCGCCTGCAGAGCTTCCCAGGCCACTCGGGGGCTGTCAAGTGCGTGGCACCCCTGAGCAGTGAGGACTTCTTCCTGAGTGGCAGCAAGGACCGCACCGTGCGCCTCTGGCCCCTCTACAACTACGGGGACGGCACCAGCGAGACAGCCCCACGCCTCATCTACGCCCAGCACCGCAAGGGCGTCTTTTTTGTGGGCCAGCTGGAGGCCCCCCAGTATGTGGTGAGCTGTGATGGGGCTGTGCACATCTGGGACCCCTTCACAGGTGAGCGGGCCCAGGTGAGGTCTCTTCTGTTGCTGTCACCCTGTCCTCCGGTAGGCCTCTGGAATGGGGCCCAAGGGTGGAGTGGTTGGAGTGTGGTGGTGCGTGGTTTGGGGTGACCCAGTGAAGCCACACAGAGGAGCAGTTAGGACTTGGAATCCATTAGACCTCAGTTTGAATTGGCCCTGACCACTTACTTGCTGAGTGATCTTGACTGCTGGAAGTATCAGTTTTTCCATCTGTAAAATGGGAATCAGAACAAATGGTTTAGCTTAATATAGGGGTTTGGCTTAAAAGGTAGCATGAGCACATGTTCGATAAATGGTGGCTCGGTTATTTTTTGGCATCAATGGAGGGAGAAATAAAGTTAAAAGGGGGGGTTGGAGTAGCATTGAGGTAGACAGAGGGAGGTAGCATTCAGTTGTTGCTTTGGGGATAGGAGTCTGGCCTGGCCATGAAAGAAGGAAGGTAGGAAGGTCAAGAAACACCTAGTATTTTCTGAGATCCCGGGAGATATGGGAGGCAGGTATGGGGTTGGTCGGGAAGATAGGAGGAGTTTGGGCTCTTCCATCAGCTGCTGGAACCCCAGATCCACTGCACATTTCCTTTCTAGGGAAGACCCTTCGCACGGTGGAGCCGTCGGACAGCCGGGTCCCGCTGACCGCCGTGGCTGTCATGCCTGCTCCCCACAGCAGCGTCACCATGGCCAGCTCTGACTCGACCCTGCGCTTTGTGGACAGTAGGAAGCCTGGCCTGCAGGTCAGGGATGTCCAGTTGCCTGAGCCCGGGCCTGGGTGACTTCTGGCGGCAGGGAGGGATCCCCAAGAGAAGGCCAGGGCGTAGTTTCTCTTTGGAGACATCACCCACAGCAGCAAACCCTGGGGGGTGGGATGCTGATGGGGGAGCTCTCCCCTTGACTGGGGGGACAGGGGCTCAGGCTTCCCAGGTGTGTGGGCTTAGGGCTGAGCAGGACCTCAGGGAGAGCGGCTTGGAGCAGGCAGAGCCGGCAGTGGGACCTCAGCTTGTCTCCCTCTGCCTGCAGCATGAGTTCCGGCTGGGTGGCGGGCTGAACCCCGGGCTGGTCCGCTCCCTGGCCGTGAGTCCCAGTGGTCGCAGCGTCGTGGCCGGTTTCTCCTCGGGCTTCATGGTGCTCCTGGACACCCGCACAGGCCTGGTTCTACGTGGCTGGCCTGCCCACGAAGGGGACATCCTGCAGATCAAGGTGACAGACGAGGGCCCCTTCCCCACCTCACTGCTCCGGGTCCCCACCTCTGTTTGGGGCCCACCCAGGACAGGCTCAGGCTGAGCCTCCTGATACCTGCCCAAGGACAGGTGTAAGGGAGCATCGGAAGCCAGCTTCACTGCGGGGCCTTGGCAGGAGGCGGGCCCCGGGGGCGGGCGCTGCGGGCCGAGCTGACCCTACCGCTCCCTGGAGATGTTCTAATGAGTAACCCTTGTCCATATTTGTCTTGCTTGGAGGATCAGGGGTCGGGTCCTGTCCGTGACCCAATTCAGGTTAAATAAAGCTCAGGGGGGAGGCTGTTTACTGCCCCCAGACCACTGAGCAGAGTCCATGCCCCCTGCTGGGCTGCTCTGGTGGGGGCAGGGGCAGACTGGGCATGGGGATCCTGCCCCCACCCCATTCTCAATCACAGACCTCAGGGAGGCACCGTGTGTGTGTGTGTGTGTGTGTGTGTTTTTTCCTGGCAGCTGGGATTCCCTCCCCATCCTAAGTGGAGGCCAGGCCAGGGCACATGCACTGACACTGCTGGGGGGACAGGCTGCCTGGGCTCCCTTCAGACCCCTCTACCCCTGCCCCAGGGGACCCTGGGCTGCAGATGCCTCTAAATTCTGGCTTTCCAATCCTGACTTTCCAGGAGGGTTCTGGGGTCAGCCTGGTTTTAATCCTGGCTCTGTGACCTTGGTGTGATTAGTTAACTTTCCTGAGCCTCAGTTTTTCTCTGTAAAATGGGAACAGTGACAGCATTTACCTCATAGAGTTGTTACAAAGATGAAACGTGGTAATGCGGTGTGCCTAACACAATGCCTAAACATAGTAAGTGCTCAAACTATAGTGATGACTAGGTTAATGATGCTGTAATCCTATATAATAAAAAGGTAATATGCAAATCGACCAAACGGCCAAATGACCGGTCACTGTGATGTGCACTGACCACCAGGGGGCCGACGCTCAACGCAGGAGCTTCCCCATGGTGGTCAGTGCACTCCCACAGGGGGGTTGCTGCCCAGCCACAAGCCGGGCTGACAGCTGGTGAGTGCAGCGGCAGTGGCGGGAGCCTCTCCTGCCTCCGCAGCAGTGCTAAGGATGTCCATCAGTCGGACATCTCCCCAGGGCTCCCAGACTGCTAAAGAGCGCAGGCCGGGCTGAGGGACCTCCTCTTCCTTAGTGCACAAATGCCGTGCACCGAACCTCTAGTATATTCATATTAATTAACATGAACATAATGTGGGAAGATAGCAGCCCGTCAGCCGTTCAGAACATCCTGTCTTCCCGGGAGAGAGCGTGGGAGGAAATGGGAAGACCCTGGAGCTGGGTGGGCCCACGGGAGCCCCAGGCCCTGCTGAGGCTCCCCTCTCCCTGAGCAGGCCGTGGAGGGCGGTGTCCTGGTCAGCTCCTCCTCCGACCATTCCTTGACCGTCTGGAAGGAGCTGGAGCAGAAGCCCACACACCACTACAAGTCCGCGTCTGACCCGATCCACACCTTCGACCTGTACTGCAGCGAGGTGATCACCGGCACCGTGGCCAACAAGATCGGCGTCTGCTCCCTGCTTGAGCCGCCCTCCCAGGCCACCACCAAGCTCAGCTCAGAGAACTTCCGTGGCACACTCACCAGCCTGGCCCTGCTGCCCACCAAGCGCCACCTCCTGCTGGGCTCAGACAATGGGGTCATCCGCCTCCTGGCATAGGCTGATGTGGGAGCTGGCCGGGCCTGGGTAGGCAGATATCCTCGGGGAGTCCACCCCCTCATCCTTGTTTCCCCCTCCATGCAAGCCTCTGGCCCCATGCCCAGTGTTAACCATGTGGCCTGCCAGCTAAGGCAGAATGGGAGTCCGGGGTCCTGAGCCTCCAGAGCCACCAAGGTGGTCAGGGGTCTCAGTCATGACTTGGGGAGACTGCCCCTGGCCAGCAGGAAGCAAGAGCAGGAGCTGGGAAAGCATCGCTGCCCCTCTTCACCCCAGCTCTGCCCTCTGCGTCCACATGGGGACAGGGGAGCTCAGGAAGAGGAAGGGAGACTGGCCCTGCCCACCTGCTTTCCAGCCAAGGCCCCCCACTTCCTGCTGGGCTCTCTGCCCCTGCCCCCCAAGGACAGAGAAGCTGCCCCAGTCCAGCACCCCATGGTGCTTGGGCTCCAGCCTCTATGGTCCAGGAATTAAGGGCCTTGGGCTGGGGTTTAAGTGTCCATGCAGCCAGGCCCTGCCCTGTGTGGGACCCGTAGGACAAAAAAGAGGTCAGGACCAGGGCAAAGAAGACGGACCGGCTAGCTGCTGCCTGCTGAGGGGCCCCCGGCTTGCCTGCTTACCCCTAACCACAGACAGTGTTTGTGCCTTGAACTGAGGAGGCAGCCCCTGAGCCCAGAACCCCTGTGAGGGGGTGAAAGGGGGGGGGGGTCCAAGATCCTGAAAGAAGGGCCAGGAAGAATTTCCTCTGTGCATCTCAGGTCTCTCCCAGGGAACAAGAAGATCCTGGGGTTCCCGGGTCCTCACATTGTGGAGCAAAGCTGAGGTCTGGGACTGGGCCCCTGCTGCCTCCTCACTCTTTGCAATAGATGTAAATATGACCAATAAACCCTTTGGAAGCGCCTTGGAACGGAGTGAGGCTTTTCTTGACGGTGGTGTCAGGTGGGGAGAAGTTGAGCTCCCACAGCTTGCAGGTCAGTGAGGAGAGGGTGGGGCGTAGGGCAGACGGTGGGAGGCAGGCTGGCCATGGTTCTTCAGGTGGCATCGGGAATAGGGCGCCTCATTCCCGCAGCCCCGCGCCAGGTCCCAGACCCCTCACCCTTGGGGAGGTGAGGAGGCATTGCTCCCAGTGAGGCAGGGTGCTGAGAGCAGCTGCACCCCTCAGCATCTCGTTCCATCCCCTGCCTTCTGACCCAGGCTGAAGGCGGCCAGTCAGGATCCTGGGCATGTGAGAGTGGGAATGGGCATCCTATCCTGGGTCCCCTACACAGGCTCCTGCAGCTCCCCCTTCATCCCTTACGGATGGGAGGCAGTTGTGGGGGAGAGGAAAGGAAGTGGGAACTGGATGTAACGGCCCAGCTCTGTGTCCTCGGGCAGGTGACAGAGCCTCTCTGAGCCTGACGGAAGCAGGGATAATCCTCCACCTAATGGGGTCTCTGGAAGGCTCCTGCCCTCCCTGGATCTGCTCTCTAGATGAGGATACCCTCCTCCACTGTCCCCTGAACCTCCTTTCTCCAGGCTCAGGTGGGACCCAAATCCGTGTGCTTCCAGGTGGCTGTCTCAGGCTTAGGGGCCCTGGTGGGAAAGGGGCTTCCGGCCCCAATATCAATGTTTAATCGGATGTGCAGGTCAATATTTACCAGAGGAGAAAGCATCTGCACAGGGGTTGGCTGAGAGCAAAGGTCCCGGTGGGAGGGAAGGGCTGGGCCGGGCTGGCTGGAGCCGGAGCAGAGCGTGGGGAGCACCCCAGTGTCCCAGAGGGACATCGTGTGCAGCAGAGAGGAGCCTCAGAGGTAGGAGGGGAGTGGTAGCGGCCTGCTCCTCGGGCAGGAGAGGAGGTAGCTGCCCACTTGGCGAGGGGGTCTGGGCTACATTTATCCAGGAGCCTGTGGTTTCCTCGGCTCCTGGAGTGATGAAAGGGGGCGGGGGGGTCCAGGGGAAGGCTCTCTGGGACTTGAAAAACTGGAGGTCATTTCTTGCCAGGAAGATTCAAAAGTCCAGGTTGGGGATCAGAAACTCGGCCAAGGGCCGTGTGTGTGTGTGTGTGTGTGTGTGTGTGTGTGTGTGTGTGTGTGAAAATGTGGGGTTGTGATGGGGGCGGAGCCAGGGGTGGTAGAAGGATCCCCCAGAAGGAATGGCCCTGAGATGGGGGTGGGGTGTGTGAGACCTGCTCTGAGGCTAGATCTACACCTGTCCATTCCCTCCTGACAGCCTGGCTTCCCGGAGGCAGCCGGGGGCAGTGTTTCCCAAAAGTCCAAAGGTGGCTTTGGCCAGAGTCATTCATTGGGTTCTGCTGCTGGGTCAACAAGGTGGCTCTTGGGGCCACCCCACCACCCCTGTGGAGACCTCAGAGCCTCCCCGGCCTGCCACCCTTGTGGGCAAGGCCAAACCAGACCAGCCAGAAAAGGTGGGCTAGCTGGATAGGAGATGTGGGGAGGGAGCCCCAGGACGAGGCAGGGCTCTCAGAAGTGGGGCCGTGGACTAGGCGGCCAGCAGCCATTACCGAGTGCCCGGCCTTGCACTCCGGGCTCACAAACACGGTCTTATTTGGTCCTCACAATGCCCGTGGGAGGAGGTAGGGACCCGGGCCACCGTTTTACAAGATGAGAAGCCCGGAGGGGTAAGGGAGATGTCCAGGGTCCTCTGGCAAGAGTCCGTCTGGATCACACCCAGGTCTCACTCACAATGCCAGGCCTTGGAGAAGGAGGGCTTTCTTCGCTTTGATATTGTCTCCCGCCATGAACCGAAACACCCCTCGGAGCTGAGAGCCGCTGCTGATGTATTTTGGGGACTGTGTGCTGTAGCTGGCGTGGTCCTCTCGGCGATGATGGCTCGGACTCTGCCGGCCAGGGATCCTGTGGGTGGGATCCCATGGTGGTGTAGGGGCTTGGCTCAGCTGGCCAGTCAGCTCACTGGTGACAGTGTGTGTGTGGGGGGGGCGGGGGGGGCAAGTTGGCAACCAAGCTTCCTGCCCCTCACAGGAACATGGCACTGCTCCGGGGGCTCCTGGTACTCAGCCTGTCCTGCCTGCAAGGGCCCTGCTCAGTGGTGAGTCTGGGCAGGAGTCTGGGTCTGGGTAGGGACGGGCGGTGGGTATGGAGGCCATAGGTCTGAGGGGGCAGAGAAGGGCAGGAGGGTTTGGCTCTGAGGGGGTTCTCCCTCCTCTCCTCATCCTTTTTTCAACAGTTCTCTCCAGCCAGCGCCATGGAGCCCTTGAGCCAGCAGGTACTGGGAAGAGGGGCTGAGAGGCCGCCCCTGTGGCTCATGCAGGGGGGTGGGGACCTGTGGGAAGGATCTCTCTCCATTTGCTTCCTCCTTTCTTCAGATAGTGATCGGGCCCAGCCAGGAGAAGCTGTCCCCACTTAGCTTCCTCAAGTTGGTCAACCAGGTACAACCAGGTGGGGCTGGGAAAAAGTGGGCGGGCCCGAGGGAGGGGGGAATCATCAGCAGGGGTGAGGGGTCTGGGGGCGTGGCCTTGAGGCCGAGGGCTGAAGAGAGAGGGTGAGGGACCAGAGGAAGGCAGCCAGTCCCCAGAATGTATCAGGCAGGCCTGGGACAAGGCTCTGCTGCCCATAGGCCCAGGGTCTGTGAAGCAGATCTCCAACACGGAACCGGAGCGACCCCTGGCCCCCGCTGACCCCCGCTATATCCCTGCAGGAGCCTGATGGCAAGACTGACCCGAAGGCGGCCTCAGGAGACTGCAGTGAGGCCCCAACCCCGGAGCAGACCCGCAGGCTGGCCAAGGCCATGATGGCCTTCACCACAGACCTGTTCTCCCAGGTGGCCCAGAGTTCCACCCACCCCAACCTCGTCCTGTCGCCTCTGAGTGTGGCTCTGGCGCTGTCTCACCTGGCACTAGGTACTGTGGCAGCCCCTGTCCAGACCAGCAGAGCTAGGAGGCCAGCAGGAGCTCACTCCTTCAGAATGACCCCTCCAGCGGGGTCACTGTGACATTTGGTAAAAATGCAGACCCCCGGGTCCACTCAAGTCTCTGTCAGTCAGATTCCCAGGAACTGGGCCCAAGGATCTGCTTCTGGTGACGTTTAGGCAAGAGTCTGATAGGTACAATGTCTCCATTGGACTGGAGGGTCTCTGGTGGGAAACTGAGTTCAGAGAGGAAGGACAATTTTCATGAGGCGTGGTCACCCAGACTGTCAGCAGCAGACATGAAAATAGAACTTGGGGGGGTGTCCTGTGACTCAGACCAGTTCAGCGGACATGAGGAGAGTGTGTGGTCCCATGGGCGTGCTCACCGTGGGTACTCCAGAGGGACTGGGGCAGGGAAGGGGGGCAGTGGTGGTGGGAAAGAGCCCCAGCCTGGCCACAGCAATGCGGTCCCCTCCAGGCGCTCAGAACCAAACGCTGCAGAGGTTGCAGAAGGTGCTGCATGCGGACTCAGGGCCCTGCCTCCCCCACCTGCTCAGCCGCCTCTGCCAGGACCTGGGCCCGGGGGCCTTCCGCATGGCTGCTAGGATGTACCTGCAGAAAGGTAGGTGCTGGTGGGAGGGAGCTCCCTATTAGGGCTGTGGGGGTGGACAGGGGGAGGGAGATGAGCTTGGCTTCAGCCAGTTGGGTCATTGTTGTCTGTGGAGCCTGAGCTCCGGGAACAGCCGGCGGCCCCTTCTGTGTAGGATTTCCCATCAAAGAGGACTTCCTGGAACAGTCGGAACGTCTCTTTGGCGCAAAGCCCATCAACCTGCTGGGAAAGAAGGGGGATGACTTGGCGAACATCAACAACTGGGTGAAGGAGGCCACGGAGGGGAAGATTGAGGACTTCCTCTCGGAGATGGCAGACGACACCGTGCTGCTGCTCCTCAACGTCATCCATTTCCAGGGTGCGCGTCTCCTCTTCTCAGGTCCCCCAGCCTGGCAGCTCCTGCCCCCGCCCTGTAGGCTGAGCAGCCTGGCAGCTCCTGCCCCCACCCTGTAGGCTGAGCAGGTTGTGCAGCCGTCACTCTTCCTCCTCAGGGCGGAGTCTCTGGGTTGTGGCTTGGGAGAGGGTAGGAGACAGGTAGTGGTGTGGCAGGGAGGGGGCTGTTGTGGAGAGAGTACCCTAGAAGGAAACCCGGTCTGAAAAGACCCGGGGGGAGGTCCCTGGGAGCATGGCAGGGTATGGGGAAAGTGCACACCCAGATTTTTTTTTAAAATATATTTTATTGATTTTTTACAGAGAGGAAGGGAGAGAGACAGAGAGTTAGAACATCGATGAGAGAGAAACATCGATCAGCTGCCTCCTGCACATCCCCCACTGGGGATGTGCCCGCAACCCAGGCACATGCCCTTGACTGGAATCGAACCTGGGCGCTTTCAGTCCGCAGGCCAACGCTCTATCCACCGAGCCAAACCGGTTTCGGCACACCCAGATTTTTAAAACTCTATAGTAAAGAGATCTCGGATCAACTGGGCATCAACTGGCACAGCACCCTCTGGGGTCTCGGCCCCCACCTTTTGTCCCTGGAATGGGTTCTGGGCGGGATGGGGAACAGGCTGGTGGTATAGAACCCACTCTGGTCCAGTCTACGTGGCCCTGCCCTCTGCTGGATGCAGGTTTCTGGAAGAACAAGTTCGACCCGAGCCTCACCCAGAGAGGAACTTTCCACCTGGACGGGCAGTTCACGGTGCCGGTGGACATGATGCAGGCCCGCATGTACCCCCTGCGCTGGACCTTGCTGGAGCAGCCCTCGATACAGGTCACCCTTGATTGCCCAGGCCGGGCCTGGGTGCTGGGAGCGGGGCAGGGAGTAGCAGGCTGTGGAGCAGGCACAGGGCTGGGGAGGTGTGCCCTCACCTTCCTTGTGGTTATGTCCCTGGGGCGCGTGGCGATGAAAGGTTTCACTACGCCCCCATCGAAGGAGACTGAGGCTCCAGGCTCATTCATTCAACAAAACCGTATTGGGCATTTGCTCTGTG